GGGCGGAGGCCGGCCAGAGTGGGGGCGGGTCCAGGCGCGACTCAGGCTGGGGCAAGTCTGCGGCGGGTTCTTCAGCGGTGACCAGAGAGCGGCCGGGCCCTTGCGACCTGGGGCGGAGCTCCGCGATCCAAGTGCCCGGCTCCCCGAACGAGGTGGGCGGGTGGCTCGGGACCCTGGCCAGGGCCGGCATGGAGCGGTGGCGTGACCGGCTGGCACTGGTGACGGGAGCCTCGGGGGGCATCGGCGCGGCTGTGGCCCGGGCCTTGGTCCAGCAGGGACTGAAGGTGGTGGGTTGTGCCCGCACCGTGGGCAACATTGAGGTAAGGCCCGGCCGAGGAGCGGGTCGCTCTCTCTGGGTGGCGTCGTTCCCGCCGGGATAGGGTCCAGGTTGGGGAGGAGGATTGGCTGGAGCCAGGCTGTCACTCTGCCTTCACTGGCCTGCCACCCCAGGGCCATTTGCAGCGGGCTCAGGGGCAGGAGAGATGGCTGCCTAGTAGGGATCCTTCAAGGCAGGCCTCTACCTTCGCTTTTTAAAGTTCCATCTTTTAAGGAGCCTTTTCTCCTGACAGGCTCTACTCCAGTGTACCAAATCTCTGACTCCCTGGCATCTTTCTCCCTCTTTCCTACCTGCCTGCCCAGGTTGGCTGAAGAAGAGAGAAGCCATAGCTCAGGAGCTACCTAGGCGGCCAGGGAGAAGGAAAGAAAGCTTTCTGGTCTCAGTGGCTAAGTTGGCTACTGGATTGCTTCCTCTGGTCCCCAGACCTAGCCTACAAAGCCAAGCAAAGTGGCTGGCCATCCAGATGAGCAGGAGCTAGAGGTTTTGATCATGATCATTCTTCTCCCAGGACAGAGCGAGGGGTTGGAGTTCTTTGGAAGAGGCTTAGCCCCACCTCCTCCTGAAATGTAGGATTAACCCCTATTCAATGGACATAAGACAGGAATGGGATATTCATAGCTAGACCTTTCTTCAAGTTTACTGTCCCAGGTGGGACTGAGTAGGTAAAATACGGTGTTGAATATGTGAGCCCTGAGGGGACAAAGCATTGTGGAGCTGAAACTCCTTGGTTTTGCCTTAATGAGAGTTGGGAGCCCTGAGTTGTGAACAATAAGCTCAGAGAAAAATGAAATGAAGTTGGCAGTGTTGGAGCAATGGAGGAAGAAGACGAGAAATTTCCATCACAGGATCACTTTGGATCCTGGCAAGATCCCTTTCAGGATTTGGGCTAGTGCCTAGCTTTATCTCCACCCTTGCTCAAAGTCCCTGTGTGGGGAGAGGGTGAGGAGGCCTTGGGTGGGGACAGAGCGGGAAGGTGTACAGGAAGGAGGACTCTCCCCTCCCCTGCTGCTGACCAAAGGTACACTTTATAGCCTCCTAGGTAGTCCCAAGGTCACCTGGCTATACCATTGCCCAACTCTGCTCCTCCTTTCTCCTATTCTGAGGTACTCAGGGCCAAACCCATGCTTTGGAGCCTAGAGGATCAAGCCAGGGATTAGACCACTGGATTCCCCAATTCTAAAACCACCTTTGCCTTCTCCTCCTACTGTCCAACCTGAACTAGCCAGGAAAGTAGTCCCTGAGCCCCAAGGGGATCCCCCAGCTGCTCACTCAGCTCCAGGATGCCTCCTTTAATGAGGGGAGAATGCCTCTGCTGGGAGGACTGACATGATTTCAGGTCATTTTTGAGGGTAGAGGGGGACAGGTAGGGCAATGAGAAGGCAGTGACAAGGAGAAATAAATTCTCAGGCTTTCCATTCTGGTTTTCCTGCAGGGCTTTGAGTCTGGAGGAGGAAGGGAGAATTTGCATGCCACGGGAGGGGAGAATTCCAGGCTTCCTCGCCCACAGTCTTGTTTTATTGATTGATTGATTCATTCACTCACTGATACAAAAACACAGTTTAAGTTCTGGCCTATTTCCTGAGGTGGTCGTGAGTAGGTGAAATCCGGTGCAGAGGGACTTCTGAGTCCCAGAGGACTATACCTCTTAAACTCTTGGAAAGTTAAAGCAGAAAAGAATTTCCTAGGTCACCTGATCCAGCCCTTTATTCCCAGCTTGGTTTGAGGGAAGGAAGGTGTTCCAGGGCAGCTGGCCAAGCTGACCCTCCTCTCGGGCACCCCGCACCCACCAGCCCTCTGCCTCCCACACACGTACGTAGTCACCTTCATGAGGCTCAGGTGCCCAGTCACTGGCCTCAAGGCGACCACGTAGCTTGTTTTCTTCCCACTTCTGAATGTCAGGTTCCCTCACAGCCATCTCTCAGCAGCTCTGCTTTCTCTCTCAGGGCTCCTCAGTGTCTGGAGGGCCCTGGCAATGCACGGGGTGTGTCCAAGGTCATCTGCCACCTGACTTGGCTCATTGTCTCCAGAGAAACTTTGGTGCAGGGTGGCACACCATGGGACAGAGAGAAAGAGTCTGTCCTGACTTCCTGGTCCTTTCTATAGGCAGGGCCAGGGGAGACTGGCAGTTGGGTTCCACTGAAAAGTATGTGTGAGAACTCAGAGCCGACCGGCTGCAGTTTGTGGAGGGAGGGCGATAGTTCAGATACAAACGCTCTGGGAGTGACTGGATGAAGTGATGGGGAGAAGAGAATTGAGGCCCTGGTGTAACCAGCTCAGTGACGCTTGGCACTGGCGGAAGAGGCATGGAATGGGGAGACTGGCGTCTTACTTACGAGCAGAGGTGGTGTTCCAGTTGGGAGAGAGTCAGAAAAGAGATATCACTGCATTCCCAGGATCCCTGCACCTCTTCTCTGGCACCCCCCATCCCAGCCCTAGACCCTCTCCCTTCTTAGAACTGCAGACTCGAGTTTATCCATGAGGTTCCTCCATTGATGAGCTCAGCCTTCCCTCCCCCACACAGGGAGTGCTCTCATTCCCTGGACTTTGACCAAAGCTTTGGGGATGGGCAGTCCCAACATCTCTGTGGCCGCCAGGTGGCTGCCAAAGGCGAGAGTTCTGAGTGGTTGACGTCGGAGGGAGGTTGTGTCTGGGTGGGGAGGCGTGGAGTGAGCAGCTCACCCCAGTTAGACCCCTGTTGGGTTTCATAGGAGCTGGCGGCTGAATGTAAGAGTGCAGGCTACCCCGGGACTTTGATCCCCTACAGATGTGACCTGTCGAATGAGGAGGACATCCTCTCCATGTTCTCAGCTGTCCGCTCCCAGCACAGCGGTGTGGACATCTGCATCAACAACGCTGGCTTGGCCCGGCCGGACACCCTGCTCTCGGGCAGCACCAGCGGTTGGAAGGACATGTTCAATGTAAGGGCTGCAGGCCAGGAGTGTGAGGCTGGGAGGGAGCGGGTTGCCGGAGATTGCATCATCGCTGGATGTCTGTCCCGAGCAGCACCAGAGGGCTGCTGGGGACAGATATCTAGTGAGAGGGGACTTCGGGTTCCTGCTTGGGGCTCTTTGACTCTCTCCTGCTTCTTTCCTTACCAGAGGGACAGTGAGTGGATGCATGGCCAGATCTTTTCTGTTTTTCTTTCTCTTAGTCCCTGGGGGCAGTTCTTAAAGTCTCTGGCTGATTTCCTTCTGTTGGAAGACAGATTGGTAGGGGAGAGAACAGCTGTCTGTCCCCAGGTGTCGGCACTGTGCTGAGTGCTTGGGAACATGGTCTTCTAGGAGGAAAAGGAAGGGAGAGAGACAGGAGATGATAATCTCACCCAGCTCTGCCAGTAACTATGCGGCTTCAGGTAGTTACCCTCTCTGAACCTCAGTCTTGTCACATTTGATTGGGATGGACACTCCTAGACCATCAATATCTGGGGTCACAAACTCCAGTGTCCCCTGAGG